TTCTCCCTCTCCCTCTGCCTACTGCTCTCCCTGCTTGTGCTCTCTCTCTCTCTCTCTCTGTGTCAAATAAATAAAATCTTAAAAAAAAAAAAAAGCATGACTTGGAAAAAATAAGTTGTATTTCATCAAAATTTAAAACTTTTGCTCTTTTGGGATGCCTGTATCGCTCAATGGTTGAGCTTCTGCCTTTGGCTCAGAGCGTGATCCTGGAGTCCCAGAATTGAGTCCCACATTGGGTTCCCTGCATAGAGCCTGCTTCTCCCTCTGCCTATGTCTCTTCTTCTCTCTCTCTCTGTGTCTCATGAATAAATAAATAAAATCTTAAAAAAATAAAAATAAAACATTTGCTCTTCAAAAGACAGGATTTTTAGGGCAGCAAAACTATTGTGTATGTTACTATAATGGTGGAAGCATGTCATTATACATTCATCAAAATGCATAGAATGTACAACTCCAAGAGTGAACTCTAATGTAAACTATATGGACTTCAGATGATAATGATGTTCCAATGTAACAAACGTACCACTCTGGTGCTAGCTATTGACAGCTGTGGGGGTCTGGAGAGAGAGGAGGGAAGGGGGAGATGGAACTGCATTTTCTGCTCAATTTTGCTATAAACTTATAACTGCTCTAAAAAATAACATCTGGGTCTTTTTTTATTTTTAATGGCAAGAAATCTAAATAGACATTTCTCCAAAGAAGATATACAAATGGCCAATAACCACATGAAAGATGCTCAACATCATTAGTTCTTAGGGAGATACAAAACCACAATGAAATACAACTCTGTACCCACTAAAATGACTATAATCAAAAAAAGGGAAAATAGTAATCGATGGCAAGGATGTGGAGAAATTGGAATCCTTATACAGTGCTGGTGAGTATGTAGAATGGTGCAGACACTGTGGCAAACAATCTGTTAGCTCTTCAAAAGATTAAACATAGACCAAGCAATTCACTATATATCCAAGAAAATTGAAAACGTATGTCCACACAAAAATGTATACATGAATGTTCATAGAAGCATTATTCATAATAGCCACAATGTAGAAACAAACCCAGATGTCCATCAAATGATGAATAGATAAACAGAATGAGTCTTATCCATATAATGGAGTGTTTTTCAACCATAAAAAGGAATGAAGAACTGACACACACTACAACATGGATGAACACTGGAAACATGTAAGTGAAAGAGCTAGTCACAAAAGACCACATACTACATGATTTCATTTATGTTACACATCTACGATAGGAAAACCATAGAGACAAAAAGTAGGTTAATGGTTGCCGGGTGTTGATGGGAATGGGGAGTAATTTCTAATGGTATGGCGTTTCTCTTGGGTTTTATATTCAGCTTGTTTTGATAGTTGCACAAATCTGTGAATATACTAAAACCATTGAATTAAATACTTTAAATGGGTGAGGTTTATGGGATGTGAATTACATTCCAATAACAAGAAAAAAAAAAGATGAAGTAGGCGGGCGTCTGGGTGGCTCAGTTGGCTAACTGTCTGACTCTTGATTTTGGCTCAGGTCATGATTTCCGGGTCATGAAACTGAGGCCCATGTGGAGGCTCTGAGGGGAGTCGGCTCAAGATTCTCTCTCTATCCCTCTGCCCTTCCCCCTCCCCTACTCTTACATGCTCTCTCTCTAAAATAAATAAATCTTAAAAACAAAAAGATGAGGCAGGAAAATTGATCCTTGTCTATGTAAGTACTCCATTTTGAGGAAATTTGAATCATAAACAAGTTAGAAATAATTACCCATGGGGCACCTGAGTGCCTCAGTCAGTTAAGCATCTGCCTTTGGCTCAGGTCATAATTTCAGGGTCCTGGGATCAAGCTCCATATTGGGCTCCCTCCTCAGCAGGCCCCTGGTACTGGGCCTGCTTCTCTCTCTCTCGCTCTGCCTGCCTGTATGTGAGTTCTCTCTCTCTGTGTCAAAAAAAAAAATTTTTTTTTAAAGAAATAATAACCTGGGCAGTAATTGGACTTGCCACAGGGTCATATAAAATGTTAATACTAACATTTTTAGACAACTTCAGATTTTGAAAGAATAATGTAACAATATATTATTTTTTAAAAATATTTCATTTATTTATTCATGAGAATGAGAGAGGCAGAGGCAGAGGGAGAAGCAGGTTCCCCGCAGAGCAGGGAGCCCCAAGCAGGACTCAAGCCCTGGACCATGGAATCATGATCTGAGCTGAAGGCAGATGTTTGACTGAGTCACCTAGGTGCTCAATATATTATTTTTAATAATACCTATTTGTGCACTTTTGGGTTCTTATAACTTGCATGCATGTTTGAATATATTAGTATGTAGGTATATAGACATATATGCATATGTTCCATCATTATCAAAATGATGCTAAATACGTTATTTGCTGGGTGACCCCTTAGCTTTTCCCACCTCAGTGGCCAAGTTAGCTGTGTAGCTATAGTTGTTGATAACAAAGCCTAGGTTCCTATTTTAGGGCCAGCTTCTCAACTGTACATCAGATGATTAAGAATTTGGTTCACAGAAGCCTGATCAATGTTTTTCTTTTCTTTTTTTTTTTTTTAAGATTTTACTTATTTATTCATGACAGACACACACAGAGAGAGAGAGGCAGAGACACCGACAGAGGAAGAAGCAGGCTCCATGCAGGGAGTCTGATGTGGGACTTGATCCCGGGTCTCCAGGATCACACTCTGGGCCAAAGGCGGTGCTAAACCGCTGGGCAACCAGGGCTGCCCTCTTTTTCTTTCTTTCTTATTTTTTTTTTTTTTAAGATTTTATTTATTTATTCAGGAGAGACACAGAGAGAGAGGCAGAGACATAGGCAGAGGGAGAAGCAAGCTCCTCTCAGGGAGCCTGATGCAGGACTCTATCCCAGGACCCTGGGATGACACCCTGAGCCGAAGCCAGATGCTCAACTACTGAGCTGCTCAGGCGTCCCAATCAATGTTTTTCAAAGTCTGGTCAGTGGCAGATGGAATCAGTTACCTGGAACCTTGATTCTGAGCATCCAGTGATAGGCTTGAGAATCTGCTATTTCAACAAGTCCCTTAGGGAATATGATCTGCACTCAGTTTTTAGAGCCCCAGCTGTGGGCACCTATTCCTGATTGCTGTGGAGAAGCTAAGATTGTCTTTGGTTTCAAGGTCCTGTTCACATTCTTCCTGCTTGCCAGGGTGAGAGTGGTATGCCTCCCTATTGTTAACCATAATGGGACTTTGCTGAGACTGGTACTGGGCCTGCAGGCACAGTCTCCTCATTACACCACCTGGTATTTCCATTTTGGATGGGGTTTCTGCCTGCTGGGGTCCTGACATCCTATCAGGAGATGCAGAAGCAGCAGACAGCACAGTTGGCTCTGCCCTTGACCCCTACTCACAATGTATTACACTGGAGCCCTGGATTGTGGACTCTAGGCCTAGCTCTATAACTTTTTAAAAAAATATTTATTTATTTATTCATGAGAGACACAGAGAGATAGGCAGAGGGGAGGAGCAGGCTCCATGCAGGGAGCCCAACGGGGAAGTCTGGGAAGTCGATCCCAGGTCTCCAGGATCACGCCCTGGGCGTGAAGGCAGGTGCTAAACCATGGAGCCACCGGGGCTGTCCCCCCGGGCTCTATATCTTGCCCCACAAGTGATGAGGGATGAATGGGCATCCTCTTACTTTAATCTCTCAACTATCTCTCAATGGGGGATCAAATGATTTCCCAAATATTGTACTTGAATGCTTCCAGGGATGGGAAATTCACCATTTATAAGTAAGCTCTTTAGTCCATAGATCTGCTACCTGACCCTTGAACAGGCAGCAGAATTATGCTAGTTCACCTGCTCATCTCTTGTGAACATATCTATTCTGACTCTTTCCAACATCTTTTGGAAACAGAGGTGTCATTGCTCTGGTTAACGTCCTTCAGAGGCTCCCATTCCTCTTAGGATCTAGACTACAGCCCCTACCATGGCCTAGTATCCTTGCTGATCTTTGCAGTCTCATCTCCTCCACTCTAGGACCCTGTCATACAGATTCTGGCATTCTCTTCCTAGGCCAGTCTGTGTCTTCCCATGGCCCAAGTCTCTTTAGTGGTTAACTTCTATTTTTTTTTTAAATTTATTTATTCATGAGAGACACACAGATAGAGGCAGAGACAGAGGCAGAGGGAGAGCTTCCTAGCCCGAAGCAGGACTCGATCCCAGAACCCTGGGATCACGACCCGAGCCAAAGGCAGATGCTCAACCATTGAGCCACCCCAGTGCCCCTATGTGGTTAACTTTTGTTCATCCCTCCACCCTCCAGCATCATTTCCCTGATCCCCAAGTCTGAATCAGGTCCCTTGCTTATTCATGCCAACACTCTGGGCCTCCCCTTACTAACATCTGCCATCGCTGAAATTCTTCACTCAAGCAATTCACTGTCTCCCCCAGTAGAAGCAAAGTTCATTGCGGTAGGGATCTGAGCTTGCTCTCTTGCATTCCCAGCATCTAGCAAAGAGGCCTGGCAGGTATTCAGTTGGAAGGATGGCTCGCTCCAGCGGGGCGGGCCACCACCTGAAAGGGTGTCTAGACCTCTGGGAATTCATCAAAGACAGACCCCCGAGCAAGCAAGCTACCCGTATAAGCCCTCCGAGCTGAGGGCATCCGTATGCGGGCCGGGTGCCCGGGGAGCCACCAGGGCAAGGGCACAGCACAACTCTGGCTGGCACCTGGCTGCCACCTGGCTGCCACGTGGGAGAGGGGCACTCCGTCTTTGCGCCGCGGGACCTCAGTTTCCCTACCGGTTCCCCGCAGGGTCGACTGAGAACCTGCCTGCCTCTACCGCAGAAGCTGCACGCAGGCGCCACAGGCGCCGCAGGCTGGGGAGGTCTGAGCGGGCAGGAGCCGGCGAGGCCGCCCGTCCCGCGGAGGGCGCTCCAGGCCGGTCCTCCGGAGCAGTCGCGCGCCGCCGGGGTCCCTCTAGCGGCGCGGAGGCGGCGCGGTGCGAGTCGGGAAGGCGGCGGGCGGGTGCGGCCCTCGGCGGCGGCGGGCGCCATGGTGGGTGGCGAGGCAGCCGCCGCGGTAGAGGAGCTCGTTTCGGGGGTGCGGCAGGCTGCGGACTTCGCCGAGCAGTTCCGCGCCTACTCGGAGAGCGAGAAGCAATGGAAGGCTCGCATGGAATTCATCCTGCGCCACTTGCCCGACTACCGCGACCCTCCCGATGGCGGTGGCCGCCTGGACCAGCTGCTGTCCCTCTCCATGGTGTGGGCCAACCACCTCTTCCTGGGTTGCAGGTGCGAACCCCTGCGGGAGGGCTGACCCCGTCCTCCCCTAGGGCTGGCTGCCTGCTGCCCAGGGCTGACCCCGCCCCCAGCCTCCAGCCGCACCGGCCCGGCCGAGGGCAATTCGGGCAGATTCGCGTGCTCTTTGGAAAGACGATTAACCTCCGAGCCTCAGTTCCCGCCTTTGGAAAATGAGTTGTGATGGCTACAATATTGAGTTAAAAAAAAAAAAAAAAAAAAGCACCTAGTACAGGCTGCTGTTTAGCAAGAGCTCAATTTATGGTGGGCACTAAAATGCCATTGTTATTTGTAGTATTTTTAGCTTAGACCATCACCTTTGTGAACTCCATTGTAAGTGTCTTCGCTCCTTCCTCCCACGTGGCAGACGTGCAGAGACAGAAACCGAGATTCCTTCCATGTCCATACGGAGAAGCTGAGAGAGAAGGTCTTCTGGCAGGATTGTGGATTTTACCATTTATGGCAGCATGTAATTTGTGGCCTTTGGCTTTTTCTCCCCACTCCCCAGTCTGCTGGACTCTTACTAAGAGCCAGCCTTTGCCTCTCTGCTTTTCCTGTTATGAAAATAACAGATGCCTTCAAAGTACTGTTTCTGAGAGTGCCCCCTCAAATGAAGGTGTCAAATCTTGAGGCTCCCACAATCTTCTGTTTGAGTGTCCCGGAATTGTGTTAGGATAATAAGATGATTTGTCTTCGTCCTCATTTCTCTGCCCCTTATGACTGGCTGACTCTAGTCACGTGCTCCCTCCAACTCTTGGCCACTTGGTTTTGTTGTCAGATGTTGGCATTAATAGAACAGGATTTGGAGAAGCAGTGCCAAAGGCCTTCTCTATTTTTCTGGGTGCCCCTGGGAAATCATAGTTAATGGGTTCCAAGATTGGACAAAATGAAGAAATGATGTTGTTTACATTAGACCAAAATTCCGTGTTTAAAAAATAAAAAATTTTGGCCTTCATACCGTATCCACTAATATGTACTGCCAGATGTATAGTTACCTGTATTTTTGTAAATCTTTTTTGTTTTGTAAATCTTGAAACACCTGCTCTATTGGCATTCCTACAGTCACTTCTGAATCCACAAGCCAGAAAAATGGTTTCCAACCTGCTGCTGAACATGTGGCCGTTTCCCCTGTAGTATCGCATCAGAACTCTGAGAGTTGGAATAGCTGCAATTTCTTGTTAGCCCACAGAGACAAGTAATTCCTCCAGGGTTTTTGATTTTTTTTTTTTTAAAGATTTTATTTATTCATGAGAGACACACACACAGAGCGAGGGAGAGACACAGGCAGAGGGAGAAGCAGGCTCCATGCAGGGAGCCCGATGTGGGACTGGATCCTGGAATTCTGGGATCATGCCCTGAGCCAAAGGCATATGCTCAACCACTGAGCCACCCAGGCATCCCTCCTCCAAGGTTTTTTATCTAACTACTTTTTATTGTGCAGTTACAACAAAGACCTTTTAGACAAAGTGATGGAAATGGCTGATGGGATTGAAGTAGAAGACCTGCCACAGTTTACTACCCGAAGTGAATTAATGAAGAAGGTAAACAGGATTTCTAAGTGCATTTGAAATGATATAGAGTTAATGGCCTCTGCTTTTATGTTGATGTGTTAGAGCATATTGTTTACTGCTCAAGGATCTAAGTCCTTTTATTAAATTTAAAAAAAAATTTCCTGAAGTATAATTGATATACAATATTCTATTCATTTCAGATGTACATTATAGCGTTTTTATACATTACAAAATAATCTCTACTTATTGTCTAGTTACCCATCTGTCACCATACAAAGCTGTTACAGTATTACTGACTGGATCCTCTGCTATACATCTCCTCATGACTTGATTTATTTTGATTGGAAGTTTGTAGGTCTTAATCTCCTTCACCTCTGTGCCCCGCCCCCCCCAATCTAGTAACCAACAGTTTCCTGTATCTATGAATTTGTTTTGTTTGTTCATTTGGGGTGTTTTTTGTTTTTTAGATTCCACATGTAAGTGAAATCATACAGTATTTCTCTTCATTGGTCTTCATTTAGCGTAATGCACTCGAGACCCACCCATATTGTTGTAAATATCAAGATCTTTCATTGCCAAGTTGTATTCCATTATATATACATATGTATAACAGCACATTTTCTTTATCCATTCATTTATCTGTGGACACTTAGGTGCCTTTTCACTTTTATTTCTCTGTAAATGGTATAAACCTTTTCATAGCTAGATAACTAAATTATACATTGTTAGTGGAGTAATAGATAAATTCAGCCTCTAAGTTTCCTTTATGAACATTGTTTTGAGCTTTTTGCTTAATTTTTAATTTGTGGTGAGAGTGCTACAGTTTCCACTTACTAAAAAATCTTGTTGGTAACATTAATTCATCTTTACCCCAATGGGTAAGGGCCTAATAAGACTTGTTTGGCCCATCTGACTTGCTGATGGGAATGTAGATGGAATAATGCCCACATACAGCTGTTCCCTGTCCTGTAGGACTTAGTCTGATCTGAGATTGAGGACTTTACATGGTGAGTTTATTGCCTGTGGAGCCTTGTATCTGGGTTCTGGTGCTAGAGCATTGGAGAGTGTGGTAGAAAGCAGCTCAGATGATGGGCTGGGCATCCCAATGGCTTTTCAAAATCCCCTAAGACCTGCTTTTTTTTTTTTTTTTAAGATTTTTATTTTAGAGCAAGCATGAGCAATAGGGGGGCAGGGAGGGCAGAGAAAGAGGGAGATGAGTCTCCAACAGACTCCCTATTCAGTGCAGAGCCAGATGGAGGGCTCCGATCCAGGACCCTGAGATCAAGACCTGAGCCAAAGTCTGACACTTAACCGACTGAGCCACCCAGGTACCCCTAGACATGTTTTTTCTCATTTGCCTGGGCCTTTTCAGGCAGAATTAATTGCTTCCTCTCCCCCAAAGTTTGTTTCTTTTGCACACTACCTAGGCCTGTTTTGAAAGGTTGTAAGCTTCTCGAGGGAAGAGATGGTGCCTAAAGTTTTAATCATGTCTCCAAAACCTAGTGTAGACTTATCTAAGAGCAGCTCAGAAAATGCTTACAAAATTGACCAGAACAAGAGAGTGAAAGGCTGCAGGCCCCTGTTTTATTTCTGTCCTCAGAAACATAGGTAAATCCTTTCCTCACTCCTGTTGGGTCTTGTTTAGGTAGGGTGTATAAAGAGGTTCCCTTCTGTATGGATATCAAGGAACTAATCAAAGCCTTAGCTTCCCAGAAAGTACTTCAGTCTCAAATAGTACACCCCACTTGATTTCAGATAGTTTTGCTAAAGAAAGTACTATTTAAAATCTGGATTTGGGGGATGCCTGGGTGGCTCAGTGGTTGAGTGTCTGCCTTTGGCTCAGGGCGTGATCCCGGAGTCCTGGGATTGAGTCCCACATCGGGCTCCTCCTGGGGAGCCTGCTTCTCCCTCTGCTTATGTCTTTGCCTCTCTTTCTGTATCTCTCATGAATAAGTAAAATATTAAAAAAAATAAAAATAAAAATCTGGATTTGGGGTCAGGAATTGGAAGTTTGTGACTCTTTGGGTTGTCTCATGTAATACTTTAAAAAAATATCTGGGCAGTCCATCAGTGTCCCATAGTGGTGAGGTTCCTTAGGGCTCCGTCACCACTAGATAGTTGCTGGCTACCTGAGTGCACCCCACAGGGAGGGGTAGGCAGGAGAAGAATGAGCTTTTACTTCCTAACTGCTTGTGGCAGATTCTTTGCTTTTTACTTCCAAGAGGTATTTTGACCTCCTTAAAACTTTTTTCTTTTTTTAAAGATTTTATTTATTTATTCATGAGAGACATAGAGAAAGAGGCAGAGACATAGGCAAAGGGAGGAGAAGCAGGCTCCATGTAGGAAACCCGATGCAGGACTCCATCCCCAGGACTCCGGGATCATACCCTGAGCTGAAGGCAGATGCTCAACCGCTGAGCCACCCAGGCATTCCCAAAACTTGTTTTTTCAAATCATTTTTTTTGTTGTACTTCTCCTTTTTAAAGATTTTATTTGAGAGAGAGAGAAAATGACTGGCAGGGAGGGCCAGAGGGAGAGAGAGAGAGAGACAGATTCCCCCCTGAGCAAGGAGCCCAATGTGGGGCTTGATCCAAAGACCCTGGGATCATGACCTGAGCCAAAGGCAGACACCTAATCGACTGAGCCACCCAGGCACCCCTGTACTTCTGTCTTGTAAATAGCTGTAGTCTTTCTAGTTATGCTGGAATATTAGAGATCAGAACCCTTCATGATGTTTGAATCGCAGACCAGGGGAGACTAAGACTTTGTAATTGATAGGCATGTCCATAGACCAATGTGAAGAAAATATATGTATGAATGTTGGGCCAGGGTGTTTCTCTAATCTGTTAATTGTAAATTAATTTTGTAACTTTGCCAGTTTTTAAGACTCTCCTAGATTTCTAGATGCTTCAGTCCTGAGAAGGAATCTTCTGACGCATGTGCCATGACAGACTTGTGTGGTGTGGAAGGCTGTCCCTTCTCCATTGAAGGCCACCCTGGGAGGCCACTGGAAAGACTCATGGGAACTTCCCAGCAGTTCTTTTGTTTCTTGCCTGAAGTTTCTGCATGTAATAGAGGCTGGCGAACATTAAGCAACATTGCCAGCCCTCATACCAAGAAAAAAGAAAAAAGAAAAAAGGAAAAAAACCTTGATAGTGAGCCATGCACCTGAAAGTGTCTGTCGTAGTTCTGCCTGGAATAGATCCCCAGCTCTAAAATTAGTTTAGGTGGGTCTTAATGCTAGCTAGCAAGTAGAAATGAGTCACCTGGTATCGTTAGTATCTTGAGACTGGACAGTGAAGGTAACTTAGGACATAATTTCTTCCAAGTAAGATTAAAAAAAAGTGTGTGTATATATATATATATATATATATATATATATATATATATATATATATATATATATATTCTGTAGTTTTGAGGCAAGTAAATCTTTGTAGTCTATCCAACTCTTATTTTTTTGATCTGAGAAAAGAAATGAGCATTGTTCTCTGACAGGTGGTATTTATCAAACAGTTGCAGTGTATGACTTTTCTATGGATTCAAATTCATTGAGCAAACAATCTCCGTTATCTATCTCAGTCATCCCTAGACACCTACGAGGAGCCTTTGTGGTGGACCAGCTTTACCCACTAGCAAACAGTAACAGCAGCAGCTCGCTTAGGAAGGGTGTCATTACTAGGACTGTCAGAGTTAATATTTCCAAGCCATTGTCTTAAGGAGAAAAGGAGGAATGATTAACTAGAAAGCTATCATTATTGGCTCACAGAAAGAATTTGTTAACTTACTTTCTTGGCCTATTTTTCCTGAGAACATTTTTATCCAACAAGAAAAATGGCAGTATGGAAAGTGACTGAATATGAAATATGAATGAGAAGGTAGGAAAACAAGCATACTTGCATTTCAAGAAGTTCTTTTCTGTGCACTGTGTCCAGTCTTGGCAAGGTCTAAGGTAATGGAATAGCCACTCCCTTGGTGAAAGATGATGTGATTTTAAGGCGGCAGTATTTTGAGTATTAAAACAAATACAGCCTGTCAGATTAGTGGAGCTACCTTTTCCCTTTATCCACTAGAAAGAGAAAAAGCTAGAAAAGCTGTATCTGACCCCATATGCAGTCTGTTACCTGGTGCCCAGGATGAGTAAGTCACATGCCAACACCTTGTGTCAAAGACCATACTTGGAGCAGCCAAAGCTGTGGCAGCTTCTGTGCTGCTGTAGTCTTGGTCTGTCCTATGGGAAATCTGTAAGATGTCTTAGGGGATTTTCTTTTCCTTTGGAGTAATGATGGTTTCCTTAGGTGATACTGCATTCTCTTAAAAGGGGAAAGACATTTTACATTTTTTTTTCCTGAGGAATTTTGCTTTTTCATTGCTCAAAAAGACTGGGGTGACAGGCTTAGCTAGGAAATAGGTCATACCTTGAAAACTCTGATTACTAAAAAGACTCTCAGATTGATTCACTTCCACTGCTAAATGTTAAGGAAATCCATTCAAATACAAGGTGACAGCCAACCATGATTTCTTCACACCCAGCTTAGAAGTTGTCTAAAGCCAAGTTTAAATTTACCAAAGGTGCTAGAGAGCACCCAGAAAGAATATATCTGTTTCAGTTCGCCACTATTTGAAGACATGCGTTTACAGTTTCTAATAGTGTGAAATCCAGAAATACATAACCTTCACATCTCCTAAATATCCTGAGTCAGTGTGAAATCTTGTGAATTACTACCTGGATTCAACTGATTTTAATTTAGAACAGTAAGTGTTTGTGTGATTCTGCTTTTAGAACCCTTCACTGAAGAGCATGCCATGAAGAAAGTTAAATTTTAGGTATTTCTGTTATCACTTTAAATTGTGAACATTTATAGATCACAGGTGTCAAGACAAAAATTAGGCTCTAGCTTCCAAATGGATAGTATGTTCAATGTTTTGAATTTTCTGTATGTAATAAAATGATTTCTGAGTTTATTTTCCATCTGAGTAGTACATAAATATTATATCACTGCTGTGTTTTAATTTATAAATTTGATTTGCTGGACTACATGGCAAAATAACCTTTTCTCTTTTTTCCCCAGCATCAAAGTTAAGGCAGAAGATTCATCACATTTTTCAACATCAGCTACAGGCTCAGGAAGGAGGCGGGGATGAATGTGACATTGACCACAGGAGCTCTCATAAGATCCCTGATATTTCCAGCATGTAGGAAAAAGGCAGTTGGAATGACAATCTTGTCTAGATTGTAGTTTTAAAAGGTCTCATGCTTCCAGTAGCTATCATTGTAAAAGTGTGCATGGATATTTATGTATTTATAAATCATGCCCTTTTTAAAAAATTTTTTGAATGTCAAACTTTTTGTTAAAAATGCCTATTTTTTTATGTTGTAATAACTGCAGGGAATGAATTTTATAATTTGGATTTTTTTAATAATATATCTTCAAGTCTGATTCTGTTTTATGGTCTTTTTCCCCTTGCACTGAGGCAAACCGGCTCTTATTATATTCCTTTCTGAAGTTTATCCCATCTTTTTTCAAGAGATGAGTAAGAATCAAGTCATAGGCCTCAGGTACCTACCAGCACATGGGGAGAGGCAGTTTTGAAAAGGCATCTGGCCATATTTTAAAATGGACACCAGAGGGCAGCCCAGATGGCTCAGCGGTTTAGCACTGCTTGTAGCCCAGGGCATGATCCTGGAGACCGAGTCCCACATCAGGCTCCCTGCATGGAGCCTGCTTCTCCCTCTGCCTGTGTCTCTGTGTGTGTCTCTCATGAATAAATAAATAAATAAAATCTTAAAAAAAAAATGGACACCAGAAGCCACAGCTTAGTCCAGGCAGCCAGCTGATTTATAGAATCTCTAGAGGTCTCCCAGGCAGCTGAGTAAAGCCCACATTCTCTTTTTATGGAGGGAGCCTGAAGATTTGGTCTTCTAGACTTGAGGAGTTGCCTTGCATATAGCCCCTGAAGAAATACCTGTTTAGTACAATGTTATTTTGCTCTGAAATTCTCACAGTAATTTTCCCCTTTTAGTTAATTTGCTCTTTATCCCTCCTCTTCCACTCACATTCATTATTTTTTAAGATTTTTAAGTAATCTAAAAAAAAAAAAAATAGATTTTTAAGTAATCTCTTCACCCAAGTTGGGGCTCAGACTTACAACCTTGAGATCAGGAGTTGCCATGCTTTACCAACTGAGCTAGCCAGGAGCCCTCTATTTCTTATTTAATGCTCACCATTAAGAACTTACCTCCAGGAGAAAAAAAAAAAAAAAAGAAATTACCTCCAGGCATAATTACTGAGAGAGGGACTTCATTTGGGGTCAGCAATATAACAATCACAGCAGGATTCACTCATCACTGAGCTTGGTATTGGGGATAATAGTGAATAAGACAGTGCCCCAGTCTGGCCAGGCATCACACCTTGGATGGGCCACATCTCTGCAGTTTCTGGCTCTAATCTGTAGTGATCACTGGAGTGGACCAAGTGAGGTCAAGGTCTCTGATATAACCTTGGACAAGTGACTTCTTTCCCTAGCTTTACCTGGGAAATGGAGATCACAGAAATACCTAGCACAAAGAGCTGTGGCAAAGACAATGATGTTGCAGGGCTATGCCAGTGCTCAGTGAGCCTGAGACTCTTCCTCACATGCACCCTAGCCTCTTTCTCTTTTGGTCACCTATACAAATTTGTGAGGCTTAAAAACCATATTACAAGTTGAGAAATACAAGAGTGGGGCTGTGAGAGCATCTTTTCTGTTCAAGACTTAAGTCTCAAGACCTTGTAAGAAGCAAGTACTAACAGTACAGTTTAGGGTGCTCAGTTAACCATGATATCCTTTTATGTTACCCAGATTTTTTTTTTTTTTTACAATATTCATTAGAGTCTATAGCCCACCTGATGAGTTCTGTACCTTTGCAGAGGCACGGATTTCCCCCTGCCCATCCTGAGGCTTTGCTATTTGTAGTAAACGGCACTGAAAATACATTGTCACATCTGAAATGAGATTTATATTATTCTAAATGTCAGGTAATTCTGTGTTTCTCTGTTCTTCGGCTCTAAAGTCTCTGCTGGGTATTCTTGTCTGGAAAGAGCCTGTCAACTTCTGGAGTCTGAAGACTATGGTCTAAGTATATCATCTAGTCATGGCTCTCATCGTTGACTAGTTCAGGGACACCTTTTGGTTCAGTAGGACTAAACAGATCTTTAAGAGACAAGAGTTTTAGAACTTAAACAGTCGTGGAAATTGCTTCCTTTAATGAATGCTGAATGCACAATAAGAAAACTGCCCTCATGGAGATTATATATGTGTGTGTGTGTGTGTGTGTATACACACATATTTATATAAATAAATGTTTCAAAATATATATTACATATACATAATATATATTATGTAAAAATTATATGTTACATAAACTCTGGGGGAAGAAAAAAATCTCTCTGGGCTTTTCATTAAAATAAATACATAGCAAGCACGTTAAAGAGCCTATTTATTGATTAAGTGAAAAGCAAGCCAGACAAGATTCTGTTTCTTCCCCAAAGTTTACTCTGTCCCTTCCAAGTTAGGACTTCCAGGTCTAGGGGTGGCAGTGTGTTGGCTACCCTTTCTCATTTTGGTTGTTTTTCTCACGATGCCAGCAGTAGGGACAGAGTTCTTTGCATATGTGCTCTTGTCAGGGAGTTCGGTCGGCCTGAAGCCTTGCCCACAGACAGGAGGACCAGCTGAAGAAGTGGGAGTAACAAAATATATCATCTGAGGGACACCTGGGTGGCTCAGTGGTTGAGTCTGCCTTCAGTTCAGGTCATGGTCCCAGGGTCCTGGGATCGAGTCCCACATTGGGTTTCCTGCATGGAGCCTGCTTCTCCCTCTGCCTGTATCTCTGCCTCTCCGTGTCTCTCATGAATAAATAAAATCTTAAAAAACACACACACACACAAAATATATCATCTGAACAGACTCCCTTAGGAATCAAGAAAGATTGAGACTATTAAGTTCCCTTTAGAAGGAACTATAAATTAGCTTAACATATCCTAGACATAGGCATGTGAACCAGAACTTTCTTCCTTGACAGTACTGTCAAGCAAGGATGGGTGGTTCTTTAGAAATAATCCAAGTGGAAGCAGGCTCCATGAGGGGAGCCTCACGTGGGACTGGAATACTGGGTCTCCAGGATCACGCCCTGGACTGAAGGCGGTGCTAAACCGCTGAGCCACCCGGGCTGCCCTGTTAGGGCATCTTGAGGCAGGTCTTGGTCTTCCTGGTTTAGTGAAAGGGCAATTAGCAGTTCAACCTTGAACTCTTAGGCCTGTTGATTACCTAAGCCTTTGCGCTTTGCTGTGAATCCTAGGACCAGAATCTCACTGCTTAGGCTGCATTTCCTTTCTCTTTGACATCTTCTCATATTAAGAATATCTAACTGAACCTAGATGTGAACTGGTAGATAATTTCTTCTTCCTGATTTACTTCACCTCAGTGTAAGGATCTTCGGGGGGGGGGGGGAATGATCCTTTTAACTTTTTTTTTTTTTAAGATTTTATTTATTTATTCATGAGAGACACACACACACAGAGAGAGAGGCAGAGACACAGGCAGAGGGAGAAGCAGGCTCCATGCAGGGAGCCCGACGTGGGACTCGATCCCAGGACTCCAAGATCACACCCTGGGCTAGGCGCTAAACCGCTGAGCCACCAGGGCTGCCCTGATCCTTTTAATTTTGATCTTTACTGGAGGATTCAGTGGAAAATTTCCTTTTTAAGTACCTGGCATTTAGTGAGCTGTCCCTGCTTCATTCCAACCCTTCTCTCCCTTTGAGGCCAAGTGGGGAAAACACAACATGTTTTAAATAACAAACTTACACAAAAGAAAAATGAGCAGCCACAGTAAGCCCCACAAGACCAGGCTCCATCCCCAGGGCTGCAGAAGGGCAGACCACTTCAGTTCCAGTTGTGGAGTAGGGCCGAACATGAATTGGCACCCATTAAGTACTATGTAGTTATGCTGACAAAATGAATGCCAGCAGGCCCTGAACGATGTAGCCTCAATCAAATGCCTGGCAGTCCTGGAGAGGGAGGTAGAAGCAGAACCTCTGGTGGGATGAGGAGAGGGTCAGCAGATGGCCAGAGCTTACAGGTCCACCACAGTTCTCCTCTAACACTAGGCACCTTGGAACCCCTCCCTGTACCACCTGTATCTAGGGTCTGTGGCTTGCAAAGGCAGAGGATATGCTCCTTTCTCCATGAACATGGCCATTGCCCTAGAACTGGCTGCACTGCAGATTGCCCAAGTCTCACCGCGTAGATCGATGAGACTGTACCACTTGGTGTGAGTTGTGGGCCCCAGATGACTGGGAACACTTGGGCTTGGACTATCACCTACAGTCCCACTTCCCCTTAAACCAGTTGTTTTCAACTTCTCAGGTGGCAAGACAATGACTCATGCTTCCTTCTACCTTTGTGTTTACCAAATTATTTTTTGATTACACTTCTCCTTTTATAACAAAACCCAGAAACCTGCTAATCAGTGTCTCCAGAGGATTTGGAGCTAGGACCCTGGATGTCCTCTGCTGTCCTACTGGCCTCCTGCCCAGGCCTGTGCACGTATTTCCAGAGGCTACCTGAAAAGGAGATTCCTTTCATTTGGATTTATATTCCGATCTTTGGAACTGTACTTGTATTGTTGCTCTTATAACCTGATCTGTCACACTTGGTCTTGAGAGAGTGCCCTGAGGACTGTGCTATTCTCGAGCTGTTCTGTGCAAAGGAATATGTAGCCCAAAGAACCAATGTGTAAGGGCTAATAAAAGCCAGGGAGGGGAATTGTCTCCCTGGACAGATGGGTTCATCAATCTCTTGCTGGCTTGCAAAAGATCCCTTGTACTCATCCCTGGGATCAACACTGTCTTCATTCTAAATTTTTTTTAAATTTTTATTTATTTATGATAGTCACACACAGAGAGAGAGAGAGGCAGAGACACAGGCAGAGGGAGAAGAAGGCTCCATGCACCGGGAGCCCGACGTGGGACTCGATTCCGGGTCTCCAGGATCGCGCCCTGGGCCAAAGGCAGGCGCTAAACCGCTGCGCCACCCAGGGATCCCCACTGTCTTCATTCTAAAGGCAACCTTCCAACTGTTCTGAGGAGTCTCGACCTGAAACCAGATTCAGGTGCTTGTGCCGGTACAGGCTTATAACCACAGCCCACTAAAACAGCAAGATTACTAATCCAGCTTTTATTTGGAGGTGATATTCCAAGCCTTTGGCCTTAGCTGACATGGGCTGGAATCTGATTTCTTTTCTTATTCTCTGCCCAGGATATTACCAGGACAAGAAGCTTCCAGTTTCTTGTGGTCTTTATACTCACAACTACCACAGTAACATAAAATCTCCCAACTCAGTTTTGTAAAATGACTATACAGAGGCCAAAGAGGTATAAACCTCTCTGCATTTGACATTC